CACTCCATGACTCATATTTGCTCTATAAAACTTAAATTGTTAGCCATTATATTATATCAATGTAGCTCATTTTATTCAGTTTTCAATTCTCTATCTTCTCATATATGCAACGAAAAATTTCAATTATTTGCTGAAACGAAAGCCAGTACATCTTTTATAGAATATTTTTTCACAAAAAACCTCGATAGTGCCAAAAGTTGGTATTGACTAACTTTTCATAAGAAAGATATTAGAACATAAAATTTTAGGATTAGTAGTTTTAGACATTGAAGTTTTGAATGAGGAAAACAATTCGAAGAAAAAAATTTTTATCGAATGCCTCGTATTCTCGATACTCTCGTGGACCCTCTCTTAATGATTTTTGTATGAAATAATCATCTCTCATTGATTATATCTTTGAAGATGATTGTAGAATCGGTTTTATACATTGTAGAAATTATTGAACTGTTTAATACAAATTTACTTGAAATTTCTACTACTTATTATGATTAATGTATTGTAATATAAAGTTGAAATTCAATTAATAACATTGGTTTAATGAAGAAATTTCTCTATCTTAGTCTTATTTACAGGAATCATAATAGAAAATTTATTAAATAACATTGATTCAATTGTTTCTAACTCAAAATGACATACATTACTTTGCTTGAGCATCTTTGCATAAAATCCAATTAGAATGACAAGTATTTTGGTAAAGTTTTAGATTAATGCCTCAGTAAGATTACTCCTTCGATGATATATATAACTGAAGAAATTATTAAATAGGAAAGTATTTTTATGAATTTTTACTAAATGAATGCATTCTTTCAAAGACTCAAAAATTTAATTATCAAAATAAGTTTCAATGAATATTTTCAATTTGAAATGACAATCAATAAACAATTTCCGATATTTTTTGCAATAAAATAAATTCAAAGAACTTCCGTCATAAGTTTATGAATAGAGAACTACGTCATCAAGAAAAGAAAAACATATTTCTTGTGTCTCATTTTATTTCAAGTAATTTATTTTTTCCCTCTCATAAATTTAACAAACAAAAAGTATGCATGACTTTTCAGCTCTGTTAAAATATATTAAATTCTTCCATTATTTAAATTAATTCATACGAGATTAATTCTAGAAAATATATTTCATACAAATAATATTCTTATTGTAAATTTTCAAGTATTAATAAGTACTCATACTCATATCTAGACTAATGATACATGTCAGTTTTGATGATATCCGTTTAACAAATATTTCATTGTAAAGCATTATGATATTAAAATTAGTGTTCTCTACTGAAAAGTGTTCCATTTTCTCATTTTATATAATATTAAAAGATGGAATACTTTCTAATAATATGGGAATATCACCTATAATGTCACTATATATTCACTGTGAAGTACCTGCTAAACTAATACTCCTACATCATCTATAAGAAAATAATTTCTACGAGCCACTTCAAATAAACATCAATATTCGATTTAATATTTGTTAATAGTCTTAATTCGAATTCGATAATGCATGATTAATTAATGAATAGAATATGAATTTTTTTCATGTAATCTTAGATAGTTATTCACAGGGAAGTGTCGAGGAGAAAACAGTGAGAGGGAGAGGGAAGGCGCAAGAGAAATTTTTTGAAAAGTTGAGGATGTGTATTAAAAAAATTTTAAAACATGAAATAATGCATTTATGAAATTTTTAAAAGTAGGAGGCGACGCAGATTCTTATTTTTCCATCTCACGATCTTTTTTTCAATAAAATTAACAATTTTTGCTAGGAAAAAGCGAAAATTTTCTAAAACTGGGCGGGTGCGCATCCCGTGGTCGCAACATTCCTGGTTATTCAATAAAAATTTATTAATTAATGTACTTTCTATACATGAATGTCTCGATCGGAGGACTTCCCCGTTCCATCCTCATTCTTAATAAATTTTCATTTTTCTTCTACTGAGCTCCACAAGAAAAACAAATACTCAAATTCTTCGAAAATTCGCTCAACATTACCAATGACCTTCTACTTGACCCTCAAATTCTAACGACCCCGAAACCCCCTTAGGTTCGTGTTCCGAATGAATATTCATCAAATAAATATATATTAATAATCAACAATGGTTAAACAATGACTCATACATCATTTTTTTATTGGTCAAAAAAAGACTGTTATTAGTGCGCAAATGTTTTGTTTCTGAATGCATTAAACAAAAAAAAAACTGACGTCAATACCAATGGCGTCCTGTTACGAGTCGCCTTTCTGATATTTTTCCACAAATCAAATAATGATTCATCGATATGTCTTTTTTTTATTACGTGAATCGGATGATGTAGGTGTATTATTATAAATCCATATGACGATGATTAACAAATATCAATTTTGTCAAGTGTCGAATTTTGTTTTTTAGATTTATACAAATGTTTGGTAATTTAAATTGTTAATATTTATATTCAATGACTAAGGATCGATTGCCTGCTTTGCGGGCGGTAAGTTTTGAAATAGAATTTTAAAACAAAAAGAAATTCAGAAAATTTTTATTCTTTCTTTTTTGACATTGAATTTTCTAGGCTCAACATGGTGAAGACAGCGATCCAGATGCTGCCTATGTTGCCATTAATATGGAAGATAATAGTCGATTTATGTCCGATTTTTTTGCTCATATCGATTCATTACGTACAAATATTGATAAAATAAGTGAACTTGTTGAAGAAGTTAAACGTCTTCATTCAACAATATTAGCTGCACCACAAGCTGATGATCGAACGAAAGAAGAACTTGAAGAAAAAATGGCTGATATTAAAAAAATAGCTAATGATGTTCGATTAAAATTAAAAAGTAAGTTAAGAAAAATACATGCCAAAAAAGATATGAATTTCTTTTATCACACAAAAAAATAAATAAATAAATAAACAAATTTAGCTATGGAAACTGAATTAGAACAGGAAGGAAATGATAATGCATTGCGTACAGCCGATATGCGCATACGAAAAACTCAGGTGTTGTTTTGATTCATTTGCTATTTTACATATTTGATTTTAATGTTGTTTTAAACGTATTCTTTTGTTTTGATTGTTGTCTTGTCTGTACTATTTTGTCTTTCTATCCTTTTTCCAGAATTGGAACAAGAACAAGAACAAGAACAATCACAACCATTAACAAACAAAACTCAAGCACAATTACGAATTGAAAAATCACAGGTAGTATATATATTTAATAATAATAATAGTAAGACACGACACAATACAATAACTGATCCTCATTCTTAATGTTTCTTGTTTTGATATATGTTTAACTATTGAAAAAAAAAAACCAAACAAATGCAATTGTTTTTTTAAACAAATTTTTTCCTCCTATTTAGCATGCAACATTATCACGTAAATTTATTGATGCAATGAATTCATATCGGAATGCTGAAATTGAATATCGAGAACGATGTAAAGCTCGTATTCAACGACAACTTGAAATCAGTGAGGATTTATAAATATTGTGTCGTGTCAATATATCTATATATATATGTATACTTTCGATGTATTATATTCAATGTGTCTATTTTCTTTTTATTGTTAGTTACATAATCATTTAAAAAGATTTAATCAAATTATGATTGATTATCACCTAGCAAAAAGAAATTATTTAGATGAAAGTAAAAAAAAATTAAGAAAACAATTTGAAATGAGTGAGTTTTGAGATTAATAAATTCCAAACATACAAAAAAAAACAACAAATGTTCATTTCAATTTATTTTTTTGTTCTATATATTTTGTATATGTCTAATGCTTTTTATGTTGTCTTGTTTTGTTTTGCATTTATGTTATAGTTATTTGTTTTAACACAACAATTTCGTGATGTGATGAATAATTATAATCAAGTTCAGTTGGGTTATCGACAAAAATGCAAAGAGAGAATACAGCGACAGCTTGAGATCAGTGAGCTTAATTCTTTTTGTTTTGCTTTTATTATTATTTATTGTTGATTAAAAAAAAATGTTTTGTTTTTGTGCTATTAACAATTAATACTTGTTTGTTTTTTTAGCCGGACGATCCGTGACTGAAGGAGAAGTTGAAGAAATGCTTGAATCTGGCAATCCAGCCGTATTTACACAAGGCGTAAGAATTTAGTTTTTGTTTTGAAATACTTTGAATTGAAAACTTTCTTTTATTTTTTATATAGATTATGGTTGAAACAGCACAAGCTAAACAATCGCTTGCTGATATTGAAGCTCGACATGGTGATATTATGAAATTAGAAAAAAGTATAAGAGAATTACATGATATGTTTATTGATATGGCTGCTCTTGTTCAGACACAAGTAAATATTTGAACTTTTTTTTTTTTTTTGATACAATATTTAATTTATGTTCTATTAAAGGGTGAAATGATTGATCGAATTGAATATAATGTTGTGCAATCAGAAAATTTTGTCAAAGCTGCAAGTACAGATACTAAAAAAGCTGTTAAATTTCAAAGTGCAGCTCGACGGGTAAGTCTTAATAGAAAGACTATAACAAAAAAAAAAAACACCAAATTAATGTTGTGTCAATGCATGTTTGTCATTATCTAATATGCTTATTTTTTACACATAGTTGCATATGTTTGCTTACTTGCTTGCTTGCTTTTGATTAACTGCCCATTGAAAGCTTTTTTTTTTCTTCTATTCTCGTTTGACATAACATGTATTGATGAATGCAATTATTAATAGGAGTCAATAGTCATTTTTTCATTCAAGATCTAAATAATTGATCTCATTTAGAAAAAAATTCTACTTATTCTATGTTTAATTATAACGGTGGTTATTATCGTACTTATACTTGTGATTTATTTTGTCGTAAACAAAAAGAATTCCTCGTCCAATCCTGATCCAACAAGTACAGCAGCACCTAGTGGAACAGGATAGATAGATTAAATATATATATATATATATGCGTATGCGCTATATACTAACCGGCATGGCTATACATAAATGAGCACATATAAATATTATTTTTCTGTTATATACAATACCTCTTTTCTTTCTTTTAAAGAAATTATTCATTATTATTGGGATTATTGCTATCGTTATCGTTATCTTGGTGATTATTCTAGCAATCGTTTTTGGTCGTAAATAGTTTTCGTTTTCAATAATTTACTTTTACTTTTCTTTTTTCTCTCTCTCTCTCTCTCTCTCTCGATTACTTAACTTATCTATATCTACGTCTAAAGACTGTTGATCGGTCTACATAATGTTTGTTTTTTTCTTTGTTTTGTTTTTTATATATTCCAAAAGAAAACTATGAAGACAATTTTTCTATTTGTATAGATTTGCACATTGATTGTCTTTCCGTCATATGATTTCAATTTTGCTATCATTCATTTTGTTATCTATGTTTGCATGTGATCAAGTACTTTATTCATTTATTTATACTTTTGTCGTTTTGCATTGCTTGTTAATTTGTTATGTTCATTGAAGTGCACGCGTATTGATATATATAAATCAACAGAAACCAAATAGAAAGACGAATTACATTATTATAAACATTCTATCCTGCTTAGCTTTTGTTTTTGTTAATATTTTTTTTTTGTGTTTGATAAATTAAAAATCAAATAGAAAAATCAATATATTCAAATAATGTTTTATCATTTATTTAGTTGTCCATAAATAATAAGAATAATAATAATAAAAAGGAAAGGAATTCTCATTATCTTAGAATGATTAAACATCCTGTTCTTGTTTTTCTCTTTACATCACTTATATATTTTTCTTCCAGTTCGATGACGATAAATATTGAATTATCTTTCGTGTGTTTTTCTTCCTTTCTACAATTTTTTTTATTATTAATGTCAATAGGCAGTTTGATATAAACATATCATAATTTTTGTCTTAGAAAAAATGTTGCCTACTAACAGTGGCTGGTATAGTATCGATCATTTTACTTCTTATCGTTACCGGCCTTATTTTAAATGCAATTCGATAAATAAAAATAAAAAAAAAGAAACATAAAGTATGAAATCAGAGAGAAAAAAAACATATTTGCAATTATTCATTGTGCTCGGATACTTTCTTTCGCTCTTTTTTTTTTTTTGCAATATTGATTTAGTCAAATGTATTTATTTATTTATTTATTATTGTTAGAATTTTGTCTGCATGTCAATTTTATTTTTAAAATATCTATTGTTTTCTGCTCAACATTTACAGAAACAAAAAACAGAAAGAAAGAATACATATTAAATGAATTTTTTTTCAGAAAAAAATTATTATACTTATTTGTTTGGCTGTTATTATTATTATTCTTGGTTCAATGGTAGCTGGATGGTTTGGTTTTAAAAGATAGCGTAAGTTAAATCAAGAATTTATTCATGTCAATGGATTTCTCATTTAGTATTATGAACTAAAATTTTGCAGAAATGAGAAACATGTGTGATAAAAATTTTAATACTATATATCGAGCTAGACTGAATTTTTTGATTAATTATAAATCATTTATGACTTCCGAAAGAATCTCTAAAGTTCTGTTATTAAAAAAGATGCAGAAATCGAAGTAGTTTTAAGGTTAACATCTGTGAGTAGTTTGTATTGGAACAGAATTTTGAAATTTTTTGACGAGCATTTTACTAGAAATAATATAAAAAGATGATCCTATGGGATAATAAATTTTGCTTCTCTTAACACAGGAATCATGTATAAAAGAGTTTCAATTTTTCTAATTAAAAATCAAAAGTGCAAAAATTTCTTGAAAGTCATGATAGTAAGGCTCGAATCTTTCCTAAAAATTGTATTAATAAAGTCCAGTCATTTTGAGAAAAATCATACATATTCTTAAAGGGAATTTTTCGGTGCATATTTCTATGACAAAAATTCAATTTTTTTATGTTTTTTTTTGTACGAAAATTTGGGTTTTCTACGATAGGACTTCCTTCATATTTTTCATGAAGCACATTTTTGAGTTATAATCTATTTGGTTTTTCATCTATTTTACTATAGTTGAATATTTTTTGCTCAATATTTCAAATATTCATTGTATTGTCTTGTTTAATTAAACTACTGTTAAGATCATGTTCATTTCATAATTTTTCTATAAAAATGATGTTTTTCAATAATGGGCAAATGTGTTTTCATGAATAGATAAACTAATTATAGTATAAGGAGAAAAAAAAGAATTCATTTAATCAAAATAAAGTCAATCTTTATATCAATAATATTTTCTAAAAATAGAAAGTCTTACATTAAGCTTTAGGTATACTCCGTAATTATTTTGCGACAATGAAAAAAATTGAATTTTAAATTAATAAAGACTCAATGAACTTTTCAAGAATTTTGAAAGCTTATTATGTAAGGAATAATATTTATGTCGGATTGAAAAGCTCTTAAATCTATTTGATATTGAAGTGACAATCATCGAGAATGACTTTTTTTTTTCTGAAATATTACGACTATTGAATTGAACTTGTTTCAAACATGTCACATTCGATAGTATTTTTCTCTGGACAAATAGCAAGATAAGAGTCGTTTTTGATCTCGGACTTAGTTTCAAAACATATTTTTATTCTTCGCATTTTCAAAATTAATTTATATAAATAATATAACACTATGGCTTTTTCTTTTTTATTCTAGGACTGATTGGATGTGGTTATGTTTTATCAATATATGTGTATAAAATAAAAAATGCTAGTTAATTTTAAGCTTTTTATCTTCTTCTTCAATATGCAAAATGAATAGTTCTTCTTGTCTTTTCTTTTATGTTTGTATATGTATTAGGCTGTATTGAATATTAAATAATTGAGTAATTCAAATGATTAAACGAATTGATTAATTAGTACATGTGAGAAAATTATATTAAAAAAAAAAGAAATCTCATTGTCGCTTCTTGTCTACGTATGTAATGTCAGTCAAGTCAGATGAGTGTTTTAATTTTTTTTTTTTTTTTGGCTTAAATCCTTAATATTTAAGATAAATTCCAAGAGTTTTTCTCTTGTTTGTTTGTTTGTTTTATTTTATCTGAATAAATTATCCAAATATGCATATTTCAAATAATATTAATTGTATGCCTTTTTTTTTTTCCTTTGTTGTGTGTGTGTGCATATGTGCACATATACTTTTTAACATGTATGTCTCGGTTTATTTCCATTTCTGTCATTTTTTTTTTTCGTTTTTGTTCATCTCTCTCTCTCTTTTTTTTTTTAACACACATGTATTATCTTAAATCATTATTTTTTTCCATAAACAAAAAAAAAAAGAAAGGTGAATAATGAAATAAAAATAGCATAGACTAATAAAATTTGTTCATTTTTCTTTTTATTAATAAATGAATTAACATATATAGTAAAGATAAAAAAAAAAAGAAAAGAAAATGAAAGTAATTCCATTGATGAATGTTTTTTTTTTAGTACAAATTTAATTCGTTTTTAAATATGGTTCAAGCCATTTTGTATGAGCTGAAAGTTTAACATAAACACCCGGTGCCATAGTTGGTGTTGTTGCTGCACCATATGATGTTATACCAAGAACAATCCAACGACCATCTGTTTGTTGAATAAGTAAAGGACCACCGGAATCACCACTCTTTTTTTATTACAATAGAAAAACACATATATTTATTTTTGTCAAAATATTTTTCTCTTACCATTGTATCTGTTCGTTGATCATAATCACCGGCACAGATTTCTGTATCTGAATCAAAGATACTTCCATAAGCACGACGACAATAATAATCATCAAATATACGTACATCAGCTGAATTAGAAAGGAAAAAAGAAAACAAAAAGAAGTTATTAGTCAAATCCCAATAGAATAACATGTTAGAATCATTTTTATTCGAAAAAAGGAAAATGTTGTGACAATAATCAGTCACCCAATAACTATGAAAAGAATAGAATGATTGACTTGTAGGTTATGACAATAGAAATATCTCATGATTCTAAAAATAGAATACAAAAATCTAGATCATTTTCTTTATAGAAATTTAACAAAAATTCTATAAAAAACAAAATTTGTCAATGCAATCTCTGATGTAGACATAAGAGAAGGGATCAACTGTTTCAAATCTCGACAGACCCAAGACAACATCTTGTTCATATCCACTTGAATGTAAAATTCTCATGAAATATCTATGCCGTATTCTTTCATGTTGTTATTTTCTCTTATCAATTACTCAGTAGCGAATTTAGAGGAGGAGGAGGGCGATTACCTTCATCATAAAAATCCGTTACTTATAACAAATAGATTTATTCTACTATCATGAAATATTGAAGAACAAAATTTGTAGTTGAACAAAAAAACAAAAGGCCATATATAGATTTGA